GCAGTACAGTTGCACTCTGAAATAACAAAAGTACATCTGCAGAAAGAGAGGACATCAGAAAGAATTTTAAAAAATTAATCAGTTTTTTTAATCGTATGTTTTATTTTTTGTTAGGATGCTTTTTTTAAAAAATATATAAAATAGTTTTAATTGAAGATATGTTAAAGCTCGAAGAAATCATCATGGAATAAGATCTAAGTATATACTATTTGAGACAATATATATTCATGTAACATTTTTAGAAGTTTTATAAAAAGGTCGCAACAGGCCATGGACTATATTAGGGGCCCAATCTTATGGGGTTCCCAGAAGTTCCTTTATAGATTAGTAAAGATTAAAGAAAACCACTCTACCCAATGGGACTCGGGGCTCAGCCTAGAAGAGCCCATTAAGTATCTCTGTGATACTTAGTTTCAGTTTTCAAACTGGATTTGCGTCTCCAGAGATCATAGGCAGACAAAGTTCTTTGGGTAGACGTGATGTCTTTTATTAGACCAACTAAATAGTTGGAAAAAATTGTTGTTTGCAAACTTTTGGGCACAAGCTCCCTTCTTTAGGCATACACAAACTCCCTTCTTTAGGAGAATTTGCTGTATCCAGAGATAACATCCCTGTTAACAGCAGTATATGGAGATAAGAGACCTGATTACCCACCTACCAGCCCTATTGTCTCTGAGAGTTGTGTGTACACAGTCAAGCCCTTACCTTTCTCTAAAAGTGCATAGTTTCAAGAAGTTAAATGAAGGATATCAAAACAACAAGAATGCAATTTCTGCATAAAATAATGATTAAATCAAAGCTTCCATTTAAATCACGATTTTAATCAAGTTGATTTAAATCAAATCCAGCCTGGAAAGATTAGCAAGGAAGAGTTACAGAAAACCAAGACAGAAGATGACTGTCTGGATAAGGATCTTATCCATATGGAGAGAAGTCAGAACCTGGTGTGTTATGAGGAACAAGTTGAAAAGATGAAATAAGCAAATCTGCAAATCCATTTTTTTAATATGAATCAATACACATTTCTTTACTTGAAATGTAGCCTTTCTGAACTCTGAGACTAAATTTATTAAAACTCATCGGATCAAAATCAATACCAAAGTTATTCCCTTGACTTTGTAAGTTTTGTGATACAAGCCCTATACCTTTTTGTTATCAGTGCCTTAGAAATTCACTTTTCTTTGACTGGTGAATGGCAGAGAACAAAAGACGATGACTTTTGATCTTTATGTAAATTGTTCCTTAAACTCTTTTATCTTTGGTTGGATCTAAACAGTGGTAAAAACAAGGCTTAGGAATATATAAAATTTTCTTAGAAATAAAGGCTAGATTGTTTCCTCAGATCATCTTTCTAGAAGATGCACTTGTAAAGGTAGATAGAGCCCTTAAAAATATTTTGACAGTTGTCTGTTATACTAGAAGAATGTTAGAATTAAGGGAGAGAAAGTGAGGCTCTGAAGTAAGGTCTACAACGTGACAAGTTAAGGTAGGAAAGGGAATTGAAGGGAAAGGACTGGACTTGGATGCTGCTTTTAATATTTTTTTTGACGTGCAGTCTGGAAAACCACATAACTAGTTTGGTCTAATTAATTAACTTCAAGGGAAACAACATCTAATTCCCAGTAACAAACGGGAAAAAACTGTAACGAGCATTTTATTTTGGTCTAAAACACTGAAATATCTGATTATAAAAATCAATTTCAGTTGGAGCTGGAATGTTCAGCATCCTTGAAAAACCAGACCAACAAGGAAAATTAATTTTTAAAATTCCATTAAGATGTCTGATTCTGAAGCGAGGGCAATCTGGAATCTCCCATTCTGTTGCACCTGATGGAAGAAGATTAATTTGAAAAAGATAGAAATGACATGTTTTAGGTTCAAAATAAAACGGGATAGTAGTGTAAGTACATACACAGAGTGGCATGGAATTGGCAAGGAAAGAGAGAAAGTGGAGAACGCTGAAAGCTGAACATGGTATCATGTTAAGTTACTAGTGACAAAGGTTTCAGTACTTCCCACAAAAAGCTCTATCTTGCTTACCATGCCATATTCTTGCATGTCCATACCATATAACTGCTAGCATTTTCTTTGCACCATCCCAGAAGTCATTGGAATAAGCCTCCTTTAACTCTTTCTTCCTCTTATAAATATAAAGAAAAATAATAGAGAAGTAGAGGAAGAGGAGAATAATCCCAGGAAGTAGAAAAACTATTATGAGCGGTGTAAACAGCCATAAAAGATAGGCGACATAATTCAGATAGTCCTCAATGTACTCCACACCAGTCCATTCTTCCAATACGTAAGCCAGGCAGGTTAAGTAGGACATAGGGATCTGCCCTGCAGTACAGGATTCATTTCTACTTATCATCTCCTGTTTAAAAGAGAGAAAAACAAAATAAGTTATAGTATCTTTAGGGCATGACAGCTTCATAATCTACAATAGAAAAAGAAAAAGTACCTTTACCATCTTGTCAAGTAAGAGAAAAATTTGATTTCATCTTCCAACTGTGCTTGTAGAAAGCAAAACAGAAGTGGTTTCAAGAACTAATAAAAAAGTTTCTCTGAAATAATTTCTTTTTCTTTATTAAGCTTTACGAAGAGTTCCTAAACTACTGCAACCCCCTAGTCTGGAGTGAGACTGGGACAAAACCGCCAGAGTAGCAAGGGATGTTGTCCACTTGAATCACTTGACACAGGATACTTTAAAAAAAAATTACAGAACATAGTACAGTATGTTAATTTTTAAGTTCCTTTAAGAAAAATCTAGTGGAAACAACAAGAAACACTCTAGCCAAAGTTTCTATAAATGAACACCACCTCACGAAAAAACTTTTGGACATTTTTCTAAAAATTTCATAGTAATCCAATGCCCCAATCCTATAAACTATTACCAAATGCTTAAATTTTGAGCAGGAGGTGTCCACTCACCACCATCACAGCAATATAACAGTAAGAGACAAGATGTATCTAAGCTGGGCAGGTCACAAGCCATTTCAGTACATTTAGGTCCATCTGGAAACCTAAAGAGAGCCAAATACAAGTCACACAACACTATTTGTGAGAATTACCACCAAATGAGTAAACCTCCTTTTCTGTTTTAGCTTTAGGTTCCATTAATCAAGGTGATCTGTGATATAGCACACTGATTAGCCTACCTCACATTTACAAAAAAAGATGAACCGTGGAACCAGTGTTTATGTTTCAAAGATTTGCAGGGGGGTGGGTAGTAGATCTTAACCTCATAACCAGAAACGATGGGCAAAAGACAACTGTCAAGAGATCATGCAGTAACTCAAGTCTGCCATCCTGGGCAGCAAATGGCAAACCCTACATTCAGTTGTTCCCCGCCCCCCTCATACCACCATTGTTTTAGTTCTACCTTGATGAAGGTACAGTCAATTAGCAATGATCTACATCATTCCATTAGTTATCAAAGCTTGGTTACAGCACTTGTTGATTCTAGTAAAGGTCAGCAGTTAGGCACAGCATGGAGACAAAAGGGATCCTTTCCACAAACTGAGGACACTGAAGCGTTGTCTCCACACAAATCTTCGCTGTAATAATACTCCATAGGAAGTATGGAGAATGGAAAAGTGGAACACCACAGAAGCTTTCATGAAAGTACCCTTGAGCAAAAGCATTTACCCAAAGCTTTCCTATTTTTTTGGAAACATCCTAGGGGATAACTTATGCACTATCTAGGGGTTCTTCAGCCAGTATAAAGACAACTGAATACAAAGCAAACACACACACTGCTGGTAGGAAAGAGGGAAGGATAATTTTCTTCTCACTGAGCAAGATTAAAACTCCATTTGTAATGCACTAAGCATCTACAAAAATATGTAGAATAGCAAGTGTAATGTTTTAGGGTATGTGTGCATGACACTTTAAAATGGGTTAAATGCTTTTGCACCGCTTTAATGGTGTTGGTGTTTGTGTGCATCAGTGGTGTATTGCACATTAATTCCAGCTGCAGAGTGAAGCACCAGGCTCTGTGCGGCTCAAGGGCTCTGCAGGCAGCCTGGGAAGGCAAGCTCCACCAAAGAAAAAAAGAAGTCGTGAGCCTAACCCCCCCACAATCAAAGCCTGCCTGCCTGAGCTGTGCGGGAACCCAGTTCTTCCTTCCGTGGCTACAGTGTCCCCTGGGACCGCCTGAGTTGGGTGCCTTTGGGCAAGTGCCGCCCGGGGGGGGGGGGGGGGGGG